CCCCCCGCGCTTAAGACAGCATGGGGGTGCGTGCACATGAATGATGTAAAATAGCGGGCCCTGTCGTGGACCCCAACCCTCTCGGTGCGTGGGCGCGTGGATAATCGCGCTTCGCCCCGCGGGGGTCCTTGCTCCGTCGTGCTTGCACTGTTTGGGAAATTGCACTGCGGTGCCGAACAGCTTCTATGTATCTGTAGCTGTTCCGTTTTGGCTCCCGCCGCCAACCCAAGGCCTCTTTTTGTCTCTCTTGCAATTTTCGAATGCTCGATGACTTTCTGGGACCAGAGTGTTTGTTCAGGCACCTGTAGCACCCGTCCGATCCGAGGTCGGTCGGGTTTCATCGCGATGACTTTGCTGTGTTCACGAGAATAGTGCAACAGAAAACTCTTTACTGTTTGCGCAGTTCCCCGCCCCCCGCGCTTAAGACAGCATGGTCATGATTTGCACCCACCCTCTTGGACACCCCCCTCTTGGCCGCTCCCGAGCGTGCGCACGCACGAACGTGCTGTCGCGCAAGTGTCTGTCCAGGAGCGCAGTGCAGACATGGATTCCTCCAGAGAGCTGCTCCACACTGGCCCGAGGTCTCAGCAGTCAATGCCAGGACATGATGGTCGGGAGCTGTACGCCACGTGTTGTGCTTTAGTCGTGTCTCCAGTGTTCCCGCCAACAGGTACCGTTGTACCGAGAACTGATGTGCAAGCGCCAGCATGCGACCAGGCACGTCGATCCCTGCTGCATCCTGATACCTACACCTGATGCGCGTGCCGCCTCCTTTGCCTTTTGTCCTGCGGGGCCGCAAGGTGAGTACCTTTGCGACCGCAATCCGCATGTGTCCGAGCGTGGGCAACCCGTCGGGAGTTGGGGCCGACTCGTCATTCGGACTGCGTCCCACTTGCGGCGGCGAGAACACGGCGGCAGGGGACAGACGGGGAGGGAGCAAGCTCGGTAGTCGTTCCGGGGCGGCTGGGGGGAAACAGCCGTCACCGCGGTTGAAGTGGTTGGAAACCCATATCCATAGTACCAGCGACAGTTCATCAACCAAGAAATCCCATGGTAGGTCGTTGTATGGCACTGCTGGCGCCAAACCCATGGACGACAACCTGGCTAAAATATCTGCCAGTTCGATTAGTGGGTTTCCAACATGCCCGGAGCCGTTTACCCAAGATAAATCAGCATGGTTTCGAAGCCACTTTGTGAGACCGTCTAAGAGACAAGGTAGCTCTCCACAAGACTGGTACTTCACACTTCCTGATACTGCTTCAACTACCATGGTGTTGTCTGTGTGTACTTTCCACGAGGCTGACCGAACATGTTGTGGAGCTTGGGCTAGCCAGAGTACAAACCACCGCGCAGCATAGAATCAGACGGGCCCGATGCACTGACAAACTCATCGCTGAGGTGGGGAGCTGGGAACGCCAGATACCCTTCAATGCGACACCTACCAACGCGAGTCATACCACACACGACGAAAGCCCAGGATGGTGGTCCATGCAGTGGCTCCCGAAGGGAACCTCCAGATCCGTCCGTGTACAGTTCATACCGAGATATATCACAACCGGGAATGGGGGGCGGGCCCGTGATGCAACAACAATTGTTGCGCGGTGGAATGCAGAGATGGCGAGAAATAGCACGCATCAGGAGTCTGCAGCGTTCCATAAAAGAGAGAAGTGAGAGAGCTGTCTGACCAAGCAGCGGGAAGTCGGGAAGTCAGATGAGAGCAACTTGGGATAGGGCTGGGTGGCGCGCGGCCGTGGCAAACTGCAGTGGCCGCGCCCAGCTGGGAGGCGCCTGGCTCCGTGGCCGACGACGCCTCCCTCAGCCTGCTCACCCCCGCGTCGACTGGGGCTCGACGTCGGCAGCGGCATCCTCCGCTCTCATGGGGCTGATGGGCGACGGCTCCCTGCGTGCCCCGCTGCACGGCCTGGAGGGCTGCGGCTGCGGGAGGGCCGACCCCTCGTCGGCTCGCTCCTGCCCTCTGGCGTGGGGTGGCGCTCGCCCGCGACCACTCTCGCGGCCACCTGCGCGCCAGGGACCACTGGGCCCACACCACCAGCATCTCCTGGCTGTCCTTCTTCAGCAGCGTGTGCTCTGGCACGTCCTTTCTCCATGGCGGCCGCCAAGGCCGGCCTCGGCGAGCCCTTCGGCAGCAGGCTGGGCCTCGGCCTCCTGCTGCTCGTGCTGCTCCAGGCGCACCCTCACGAGCGCCGCCTCGCACGCGTCGCGGTGCGACTGCTGCTCGGCGCGGATCATGCCAGGCTCCGGCACAGCAGGCGTCGCACCACGTGCAGGGGCCAGCCCTCCAGGCTCATGGGCAGCTGGTGCTCCTGCAGGGTTCGCCAGGGCCGACGCGGCCGCCTGCGCAGCCGCGGCAGCTCCGCCCGATGGGCCGCTCGACGCTGACCCAGCAGCCGACTCGGGTTCGCCCCCGCGCAGGTCCACGGCCTGCGGCTGGCCCACCTTCGCCTGGGCCACCTGCGGCTCCGCCGCGAGCGCGGCGGGCCTGGCCCCGCCTGCGGAGGCGGTGCCTGGGCCATGCGGGCGAGCGCCGGTGAGGACGCCGGTGAGGACGCCGGTGAGGACGCCGCTCAGCGCACTCGTCTGGTTGGCGCGGTCCACCGGGTTGTGCTGCAGCGCGGCGATGGCAGCAACAGCAGGGGCCGCCCATGCCTCCAGCGGGGGCCAGAGGCGAAGCTTCTCCTCCGACTCCTTCGGCGACGGGCGCGGTGGGCGCCGATCCCTGCGGCGTCGCCGTGTCGGCTGCAGGGCCCGGCTCCGCCAAGGGCTCGCCCATCGTCGCATCGGCAGCCGCCAGGGAGCACCAGGGCTCGA